ACATCATTCTTATATCCTAAAAAAGCCAAGCAACTGTCATTGAAATAAACAGGACTGCTAACAGATAGCTTTCTCCAGGTATTACAGACCTCTTTGTTTACAACACTGCCGTATGAATATTGTTGTTTTGACCACTGCAGCCGTATTAATTTGCAATTAAAATGTGTTATTCTGCACTCAACATTCCAGCAAAAATCTGATATGACAACATCACTAAAACTTTCAGGCATGGGTTAGCCAATCAATAGATACATAATTTATAAAGGAAGACAGATAGTAGACATTTTGCTTCCAAATGCACAAAACACTAATTCAACTTTTACTCACACACAGTAATGTGATCAGGGATGCGTGGCAACAAACTCACATTTGCTTGGGCTAAGAGAGTTATGCATTAATTCACTGCTACATGCACCCTGGAAACATCCAACTACAACTTAAGAACCAAAGCACTGAGGACTATGTGTGTGTGTGTCTGAAAACACTGAAAGCATAGTGGAGTTTTGTGCCAGTCTCAATAGCGTAGCGTGGAGGTCATCTAGCTTGACACAGATCCAAACCTACATGGTTCAGCTCACTCTTGCTAAAAGCAGATCCCCACACACAGTCCAGCGTGCCTGAGGTTAGCACTTAAACCCACCCCCTGCTCTTTCTGGGACTGTGCCTGTGCTGGGCAGAGCAGAGCAGAGCGGAGCGGAGGCTCTGAGCAGGATGGAATTGGCTTTCAGTACACTGCATTAGTTTCACAGTGGAGCTCCGGAGGCCCACTGGCAGCGGGAACAGAAAGACACCATGTTTGTTTTCTAGGCCCAGCCTCAGTAAAAATGTTTATTGATATTTTCTGTGGTTCAACGCAAGTGTCGGATGCTGAGGAAGGATGCCCGCACAGCCAAGAGGAGCCGTAGGCATCAGGACTTCTGCTTTCTTTCAGAGACTCACAGAAGAGCAGCCACTGGCCTAAAAAAGTTCTTACAGCAAATTCAAATGGCTTTGTAAACTCTGTGTCTTGCCATCTTTAGCAGTGCCATTTGTGAATTAACAAGTTCTTTGAACTGGTTCAAAATGACTCGCAAAGCATTTTGTAAATCACTTGATCACAAGAGTGAAACATATTTCAACCATAATTTGAACCCTCAATAAAATGAACCCTCAACGTTTCATTTTTGCATGATAAAGATCTAGAGGTTTTGCAGTTTATTAATAAAGATCTTATGGCATTATTCTCTTTTCCCTACTGTAGGTTTGCATCACTGTGTTCTTCATCTGAACCCAACACAAACATGCTAATATAAAAACAATAATTATTAAAAAAAGCAATTGTACAACATTACTACTACAAAACAGAATACAATTAGGTTTTAAATGTGGGCGTCAAGTCTAAACTAAATAGCTTCCACAGTTTCCTCAAAAAGTGACTCTCAAACAAACAGAATAGCTAAAATGAAATGACTTCCTTATGCTATTTTCCTTAATCTTTTAATACATCCTGTCCTTTCTCACTAACATGCTAATACAAAAACAATAACTAAAATGATTAAATAATAACAATAATAAAAAACATCCTTAATTACCACAGCAAAAATTGAATTAACTTTAAAATCCACTGTCAAGTCTAAACTAAATTGTTTCCACTTTTCTCTGCGTCAAGTCTAAACTAAATAGCTTCCACAGTTTCCTCAAAAAGTGACTCTCAAACAAACAGAATAGCTAAAATGAAATGACTTCCTTATGCTATTTTCCTTCATCTTTTAATACATCCTGTCCTTTCTCACTAACATGCTAATACAAAAACAATAACTAAAATGATTAAATAATAACAATAATAAAAAACATCCTTAATTACCACAGCAAAAATTGAATTAGCTTTAAAATCCACTGTCAAGTCTAAACTAAATTGTTTCCACTTTTTCTCCAAAACAGTCACTCAAATTAATTGGCTAATCTTTTTTCAACAGGTTCATTGAAGGTAGTGAATTCCTAAAATGAATCCCAGTGTTTTTTCAGTGCAATCTCTCATCCCTCACATAGACACTTACATTCTGCTCCCTCAGAGTGAAGGGACAGCAGCTGGTCTGGAGGTCATGCTGTTGAACTCATGGACCTTTATTCTGAGGATTAATTAAAACACAGCTTGGTTGGTGGTAACAGAAGTAAATGCAAGCTGTACGCTGGGCTCTGAACGAAACATTTCCCTCACATTCAGCCTCTTTGGCCCAATCCCCTCCTGTAATGAGCAATAATAACAGTCTGAGAGAAGAGTCATCAAATCAGTCTGGAAATAAACAGGCTTTTGAAGCTCCACTCTAAAACCCACCCACACACAAACACACACACACGGCCCTCTGTTCTGAACACAAAGGCTTAAATACTCTAATAAAAAAAACTATAACTTAAAACGTCTTTAATTACTACTGCAAAACAGCCTAACATTAGCTTTAAGAGGGCATCCAGTCCAAACTAAATTGTTTCAACATAATTTCTTCAAAGCACACCGTGATTAAAAATTCATTGCATTAGGATCTACGGCTGATGCAGGAGTATGTGACTTTGGAAGCTGCTAAAAATAGCCAGCTGACACTCTCCATTTATAATAAATGGATAGAGACACAAACACTAGTGCTTCACAAACACACACAAACACACACACACACACACACACAGAGAGAGAGAGAGAGAGTGGCTCTTTCCAGGAGTTCTCTTTGGAAAGACACCTAATGCCACAAATCAGCTTCAATGTTTTTCAAATATACAGGCCATGAATCACAATTTCAACAAACCAAATTAATGGAATCTGCAGACTTCTTTGAGGGGCAGCATCACTGATTTCATTATTGATAATAAGCAGAAATGTTTCTTGAGCAGCAAATCAGCATATTAGAATGATTTCTGTTGGATCATGTGACACTGAAGACTGGAGTAATGATGCTGAAAATTCAGCTTTGCTATCACAGGAATGAATTATACATTTTAAAAAGTATAACAATGATAAACAGTTATTTTAAATTACAGTATTTCACAAACTTACAGTATTTTTTAAACAATTGAATGAAGCTTTGGTGAAAAACATAAAAAAATGTTACCAACTCCAAACTTTCAAATGGTAGTATACTTGTTTAAAATAAAATGTTTCTAAACCCACTGGAGCACAGACACGCAATAAACACTATACACTCCTCTATCACTGATTCTGAAGCTTTTATGTATTTAAATTCAAAACTAACCAGTAATAAACGCACTCACCAGACACGCAACAGGCCCAAAAACATCTACTCATAGCACTCTTCCTCTTTAGAATGTCTCTCAGCCTCAGTACGTTGGGTTATCAGCCAGACATTTGAATTCCTGCACAGCAATCACCCTCTACAAGCTCGCAGGACATTTAATTGGACTTAGTCTCATGAAAACACACATTTCCAATCTCAATCCAACACACCAAAACGTAAAACTCACTCACACTCTGAAACTAAACATTCTCAGACTTGTACACAAAATCTAAGCTCAAGGCAGCATGATAATAAGCCAATTATTTACTGCTTTATTTTAAGGCTAATTGCGAGATTTGAAATGAGCTGAATGTGTCATCAGATCAAGGAAATGCAAACTATATGACAAACTTGCAAATAATATGAAATAAGAATAATTAGTTGCAAGCATCTGACATTCAAAGTAGTTCTTTTTCCAAATGTGATAAAGACCACTGCATTAAAAAAACAATGAACGGCATTTGTCAAAGCCAAAAATGTTTCTTATATAGCTGATTAGAATATAGACATATACAGATATTTTCTCCCAAATTAAAATTACAGCTTGATTAGGGCATCTATATTCAAGAATTTAATATAGTACCAAAGTGATGAAAGAACAAAAGAACTAATAATTGTACTATTATTACCACCACCACCATTATCATCATCATCATCGCTATTGTCGCTGTTCTGTTTTGTAGATGGTATCATATTTCCATCCTATTTCCAATAATCAGAGATTATTTTCCTATATTCTTTTGAGAAAATCTCTTTTTGCCGTTTCTTTTCAGCAAATGCACATTTTATGGCAGCTCAGAAGAAAAAAGGTGAGAATACTAACAGGCCCAATAAAGCTATTAGTGGTCACCTTGTCTGCACTGAGAGACACTGTGATTTCCCCTCTTGCATTTTTGATCTTCTCTCATCCATAATCCTTCTGCTGTGTCGTTCTAGAGCCGAGGAGCTGGCAGTGTTGGAGTGAATTTATTTACAGCGTGGTTAGTCTGCAAATGATTGATGTTGCTGCAGCAAACAGTAAACCAATTAGAGGCATGATGTAATGTCATTTTAAAAGGTTTATAATCGCGTTGCTCCTGAACTCGGGCCCCTGATCAGACGTAATAAAGATTTATAGTAGATCAAACGAGAGGCTAATGCCATTAACAATAGATTATATTCCAGCAGAAATTACATTAACAACTTTTTTTCCTCCTCTCCGCTAAATATATCCCCTGGATTGTAGATTTGGACGTGGGGCAAAGTTTGGAGGACTGTGCAGCGTACGGAGCATTAATTACTCTTGAGTGAGCACAGCTGTACTAAGATGACTCACACACATATTCTGTTCAGTCTGACCTGTTATAGTGAGGTTCTACACAACCTGTGAAAGTGTAATAAGTCACCATAAGATAAGTGCTTCATATGTTACGCCCCTTATGGGAAACCGATGCTGTTAGATTTCATATCCATTTGTTGTCACCTTGAGCTTCACTAGTCATAAATATAATCTATTCCTATAACAAAATGACCTTTTTAGGGACAACAACTAACACTATGTCCTAACCAGGCACAACATGACAAAATGACAAACGATATCCAGTCTCTTCCATGTTGTGGACTGTTTACATAGACCTTGTTCAGACAGCAGCATTTCCCACCCAACCCCTCCAACAGCAGACACAACAGTACAGGACACAAATGAGTAAGATGATGATGGTGGCATCAGCCAATGAGATGTAAGTGGGAGGGGCTTACCAGTGGGGGGCTGGGCCCGGAGCAGGTATGAGTTAGGGGAGATTTGGTCCTCTGGATGGGGCTCCAGCATGGTGTGGGAGGAGCTGCTGTCCAGCAAGGGAACCTGACACTCCCTTATGGTAGGCGGGGCTGGATGAAGGGGGGCGGTGCCAGAAACACACCTCCATTCACACACCAACACACAAAACACAGGGCCTCATTGCACTAAGCTTATTTGATTTTTTCAGATTAGATTTTATTTTAATACTATTTCTAAATATATTTTAGACTTCAATTTAGGTGGTTAGTCTTTTTAGATTGCTAGTTAAGCAGACCCCAGGCACATGGGGCAGAGGCCTGTTAAATAATAAAGAGAGAGACGGGGAAGGATATGTTTACAGTCAGCATTTCATAAAAAAAGCATCTATGGTATACGCATCTCAGAACGAGTGAACGGGAAGAAAGAAACAACAAGAGAGAGAGAGAAAGATACAGGGATCTTCACTAATGCACAGAGGAGATGAATAAACACTGAAAAGCTCAGCGAATATGCAGATGAAAGAGCGAGAGGTTAAGTGTGCTGTTGGCTGATTAGCTTGACTTCTAAAGAGATGGATGGAGAATTGGGCCATAAAAATACTAAACAGTAGAGCTGCATATGGGTTTCTGAAGACAGAAGAGCAGCTGGAATTCTGGGAAGTTGTTCTTGTCAAACAGTAGATAGAAGCAGCGTAGATGGACCAATGAGTCATTTTCTCTCAACAGAAACAGAGAATAATATTTGGTACGTTTCAATGAATATTTAAAACAGTTCAGAGGCAAAATGTTTATTGTCGTTGAACTCGTTTTAACAAGAACATAATATTCATCACACAAAACCATGACACCATTTTCAATGGACCATTGCTTCAATAATGAGAGTATTTATGGCACTGGACAAGAGAAGCCTGTGTGTGTATATGTGTGTGTGTGTTGGGGGTTATTACATTTTTAAATCACTTTAATTACAAAAAAAGTAAAAATTGCATTAGGTGGCCAAAAGCAATTATAGGAAACTTAATCTCCTTTGCAATTAGGCTCAGGGGCATTTTTTAACTATTGTAATTTATTTTTGCTACATTTCTATAAAGGTCAGTATAAATTGCTTTGTGTTATTAGAACAAAGGCTCGTTAGAAGGGGGCCGAGGGGGGGCACCTGTTCCTCTAGATGATTGTTCTCCTTTGCCGTCCTTCCTAAATTTCCGTTATCTCTCTGGGACAGGATGTGCTACTGTGGATCTGCCGGCCTGGAACACTGATTTGACCTTGAACGTCCCTGGTTTGGCCCTCAGGTAGAATTGATTTTTTCTTCTATCCCAACTCAGAGACAACTTTTGATTTCCTGAAGAGTATAAACTTTGTGGCACTTTCAAAACATTGCACTGGTAGCCTCTCGATACAGCAAAATGCAAATGAAGCTGTGTAAAAATAAATTAATAAAACAAAAACCCTAAAAAACTAATTATATAAAACAATTACTAATATATATATATATATATATATATATTTTTTTTTTTTTTTTTTTTTTTTTTTTTACTTTATACTTTTACATTATTTTGATCAAGAATGATACAGTAACATTTCTGATTTAAAGATTTTTAAAGATATAGATACAACAAAACAAATTATTAACAAAGCAAATGCTGTTCTTTTGAACTTTCAATATATAAAATAATCCTGAAAAACATGTAAGCACCAAAATATTAAGCAGTTTTCAACATTTCTATTAATAACAAGTGTTTATTGAGCACAACATATTATCAAATCAGTACGTTGATTTCTGAAGGATCATGTGACACTGAAGACTGGAGTAATGGCCGCTGAAAATCCAGGAATAAATTACATTTTAAAATATCTTAAAATAGAGAACAGTTTTAATATGTAATAATTCTCAATATTACAGTTATTGCTATATCAAACAAATGCAGCCTTGGGTGAGCATAGGAGGCTTCTTTCAAAAACATTCAAAAGCTTTCGGATCTCTGACAAGAAGCCACACTGGCTGGTCTCTTATAGCTAAAAAGAGCTGTCAGCCGTACTTTGGGTTCAGTCTCTCATTATCCAGCATTTCTCCACCGCTGTTGCTTTTGGCTTCACTCCATTTTGACAAAACTCGATTTGAAAAAGTTCGTGGACAGACTACATGAAAGTGCATTGTGACGCCTGGTTTCACACAGCTCATAATTCATAAAGTTTAAGCCTGTCCAGTGCCTTGTTTTTTTGATTGCTGCTGAGTCTAACTTTTCCATCACTTGTTGGAGCCTCTGGGTAAGTGCGCTGAGAAAATTACATTATGTAATGTAATACCATTATGTGAAAATCATTTTGGTAGATTCACGGATTACGGGATAGAAGCAGACATGCCGCTGAGTGAAGCGGTCCTGTCGGCAAACTCTCACAAATATGCTCGCAGATGCACCCTAATACCGCGGCCCGGGTCTAGCTGCGGCACTATATCTCTCCACCCATCTGGCCGGTGAAAAGACGGCGAGCCAAAGAGGCCAAAAAGCTCAGGAAGAGACAGCTGGAGCCCAGTCAGATGGAAAGTGACAAATTACCGCCCTAATGAGAGCCATTCATCATTTCTCCCAAACTCTCTCCCTCCCTCTATTTTCATCAACAACGCACCTACAGGTTTAGCTCAACCGTCATCCAACACCTGCATTCAAACACGCTGAAGATGGGGAGGAAAAGGAGGCGGATTAGACCTCAGAAAATAAGAAATGCAACACATAGTTTACCTTACAGGTGTGTGAGAGGAAATGAGGAGAACAGAGAAAAGTAGGATGGAAAACAGATGTGAAATAACCCAGAGTTAGTCAACCGCGTGATAATGTCATCTCTCTCTCTCTATGAAAAACAAAACAAACAAAAAATAATAAAACAAACTAAATAGTAAAAAATATCAAGATAAAGTTGTCAGGGCAAACCCTGAAAAAAATGGCCTAGTTGATTGTTTTTCTCAGCCATGTGCTTCTTTAGCCCCTCCTCCTGGTTTCTTCATTACCACACCCTCTTGTTAGCCCTCATTGAGTCCTTGTTAGTGTAATTGCTCTCACCTGTTCCTCGTGTGTTTTCCTCCCTATTTATAGTGCCCCTTGCCCTTTTGTCTTTGCTGGTTCGTGGTCATTCTTTCCCTCACTGTGTTTGTTGCTGTCTGTGGATGTGGCTGAGTATGTGTTCCTGTCTGTTTGATCTTGTGATCTAGTCTTGCCGTAGTCTTGTCTCTTGTAATTCTATGTTCTTGTCTTGCTCCTTGTTTTTGGATTTGGTCTGTTTTTGTCTTTTTGCTTTTATTTTAGTGTTCATTTAGTTATCTTAGTCCTGATCTCTTGTTTTCATTTTATGGTTGATGTTTTAGTTATTTGTGTTGGTTATTTTTAATAATTTAGCCTTTTTTTTATTTTTATTTTTTATTCGCTTGCCTGTCTTGGAGTAATTTGTGTTCCTGTGGAGCTATGTTTTGTCTTGTTGGAGTTCCTGTTCCCGTGTCTGGGGTGCTTCAGAGTTTATGGTCCATAAGTTCTGAGCTCCGCTCTCTGGTGCCTTGCTCTGGTCTCTCCACCGGCCTGATCTTGCCTCTGCTGCTACAGTATTCTGCCAGTTGATGTCTGAGGCTGTCCCAGTGGCCTTCCCTAGCTATGTGTTTGTGTTCCTGTTGTGGTATCACCTATGCACCGCACTACCCTTTTGTATGAATCTGTTTTGTCAAACCCTTATTACTCACTGCAATTGGGTCCTCCTTCCAGATCCCTGACAAAAGTGATTATAAATATAATGAAAGTATCATCAAAGCCTAGTATTTTTATAAAAAATATAAAGACTGTTAATCCAAAAATGAAAATTCTGTCATTTACTCACCCTCATGTCATTTTAAACCTGTATGACTGACTTTCTTCTGTAGAAACTAAAAGAACAAATTATTAAAAAAAAACGCTGTGCAGGAGTGTCAAAGCAAAACATACAAAACATTCTTCCACAGAAGAAAGTCATACAGGTTTAGAATGACATGAGGGCGATTAAATGACAATGTAAAATAAAAATTTTCATTTTTGGTGGACTGTCTCTTTAAATGTGCAGAGTTCAGTCATATAACACGCATTGAAATCAGTCCATTTCAGTTTGGATGCTTCCATAGAGTGCATCCACCTATGTAGGCAGCACAATAGGTTTGGAATAGAGCTAACATATAGGGAAGGTGACAGGAAGCTGAGAGACCGCAATGTGAATCTCTCATGTGATCCAGGGCAGGAGACCATATTATGCCCACTGCCGCTAAGATGGCCGCTGCTGGTGCCGCATCCGTCTCTGCCAGAGAATTTTGAGGGCAGATTGTCTGGATGCTCTGTGATTGGCTCCATTTTCTCATTCTGATGTTGTGTCTTGTCAAACAGGCTGACAGGATCCTAATTTTTACAACCACTAAGCTTAGTCGGGCCTGTCAAAACACTAACGCAACACTGGCCAATGCTAATGGCAGAGCAGGAGTTGGATAATCACGCACACGCACATAAGTACTGGCACGATCCTATTCCCTTCATCCTGGTTTATTCAGCTGAAAATATCAAAGCATGAAACTTACTGTAAGCTTTCCACAATTAAGAAAGTTAGCTTATCTCATCTTAAAAGTGACTTTACGTTTATGTTTCTCCCCTCAAAAAACCCCTTGATGTTGAGCTTCAAGCCCCTATTCTCCTCTAGCTCAGAGCTCCTTTATAATCCTGCTCATTTTTGTCTGTCTGAGAATGACTTCAGGAAATGCAAGTCAAATGTTTCCGTGTGAGGGGACAGAATGCAGTACTGAGACACTCAGGTACGGCTCCTCTTCACTTTAATGGAGGATCAGCCAAAAGAATGAATTTTAATGGATCTGGCGAGTCCAGGTGTGTTGAGGGCCACTGCAGCATCTCTTTTGTTATTATTCTTTGCAACATATTTCAATTTGTGTTCATCACAGTAAAGAACCCTCAGACTGCCTGTAAGCCTGAACAAAAGCCATGAGAAACTTTTAGTTTCATCTTGCACTTTTGCACTTGCTACAATCAACCATATAGTAATACATTTAGGATATGCCAGTTATATGTGTCAGTGTTGTTACATGTGAACTAAAACGATAATTTTTCGGTAAATAAAATATAAATACTATACGGGAAAACTCAAACTTGAGTTTTTGAGCAAAAAAAGTACAAAAATGAGCTAAACTAAAACTTAGTTACTAAAAACATAAAATATAAAAACATGTAACAACATACTTAAATTGAAAAAATAAATTAAATAAAACAAAAATATAAAAATAAAAGGTAATTTAAAATATGAATACATATTATAATAGTATATAAATAACACAAAATAACACAAGTACAATATGTGTTTAAGGAATAAGCTTAAACATTTCTGGGTGAACCATTCCTTTAAATACATTTCTGTTTGTTTCCTTTTTAACTTGTCAGCATCCTAAATGCTCTATAATGATAGCAATTCATCATCTATTCAACGCTATGCTTATTTACTGTTCGGGTAGTCTACTACCGTGCTTTACGCAGGACACTGCACTTTGATTCATGATCACTGACTAAAACACATCCTCAACCCATCGCAGGTGTCAGTGTGTCCTGCTCTGTCAGACCATGATGCTATGAGCATGTGCATTGAGGACAGTGAATTCAGTGCAGTCATAAACACACACACACACACACACTGTCAATTAGGCTCAGGCCACTGTCAGCTCTCTGCACGTCATTTCCATATAAATTACATCCATGTTGTCTTTCTGGATTGATGACACTGTTATGGATTCCACACATTTTAACTTAAAGAAGAGAGTATAAATAGAGAATAAATAACCTCCATC